ACCCCCCCCCCTGCTCACGAGGACAGGCCCGACAGGCCCCCCCCCTCCCGCCCACACCCCCCACGCGGCCCAGAAAGTCACCAAGACCAGTCAGGAAGTGGAAGAAGGAAGGAGAGACCATTCAAAGGGAGCGGAGAAGAAAAAGCTTTCGGTGAAGCCAGAGCTCGGGCCCTCCTCCCACTGGTACTCATCGTCAGAGGAGTCCTCGGAGAGGAAGACCGCATAGTGTCGCGAGGGCTTTGCCAGGCTGGGGCAGAGGGAGACAAAAGAGAAGAGGACAGGCGTTAGGACACTGCCAGAACCCCATGGCAGTGGGAGGGAGGGCTCTGAGCTTGGCGCCGGCTGGGCCTCCCTGCCAGCCGGGCCTGGAGGCTCCCTGGAGGTGTCCAGAGGGCACAGGAGGCCTGCCAGGCCCCAAGGTGAGAAAGCTGGTCCCAGATAGAAAAGAAACTCTGGATTCACCGCATGAGCCTTAAACTGCGGTCCCGTCCTCTAGGACAGAGTAATTCCACTTGTCTGGATTCACCGCATGAGCCTTAAACTGCAGTCCCGTCCTCTAGGACAGAGTAATTCCACTTGTCTGGATTCGCCGCATGAGCCTTAAACTGCGGTCCCGTCCTCTAGGACAGAGTAATTCCACTTGCACGGGGGCGACCTTAGACGGGGCAGTCATGCCCAGAGATCTTCCTCACTCCAAGTTTGCGACATGAGCCAACCTGAACCTGCCACAGCAGAGATCCGGTGCGTTGGCCCAACGTCATCCTCCCATCACACGTAACACGCATGAAGCCACGTTCACCAACAAGGGTGCGGGACTGCAGTTACACCGCCTCCTCACACCCGCCACAGCAAACGCAGAGGAAAAAGGCCGGAAAGGAGGTGTGTGCATGTTGATAATAGCTACTGAGATTGGGGGTGACCTGCCCCACAGTTAATTTTCCTGCAATGAGCAGATCTACTTCAACAACGGGGAAGAATACACAAGGCCAAAGTTGAAGAAGAAAGTGCACCACGTGGAGGAGCACTCGCGAGAAGCCCTTTTCTGATGAGCGGTTGCTCTCAGGAGTCTCCCTCAGATGCCTCTTCAGAGAGTCTTTTTCATCTGTGATGTGAAAATTAAATATTCATTGCTATAAAAAATACATCTCCCTTGTCCGCCACCTGTGAGCTCTACCTCTATAAACACAAACACATACACAGCCCCGAGAAGCCCCACGCCCGCCTCCATGAATTATACACTGACCAGTGCTCACGGGGCCGTGCGCTCAGGAGGGGGAGCTGGACTGGCGGGGCCGGTGCGAGGCCGGCCCCAGGCCTGCTGCTCTGGCCGGGATGCTGGGCAGTGGTGCCCCCACCTCTGCCACTCAGTAGGTGGGGCTCACTCTGAGGATCCCAGGGGTGTGGGGAGGACTTTGGGGAGGGTGGAGTAGGAGACAGGGTTATCTCCTTTCTCCTCACCCTGCTCCCCAAAGCAGACTTCTTTCTTTGCTTTATTTTATTATTTTTAAAAATTTGCCAGAGGGGAGACGAGCAGTTGGCATAAAGGCTATGTCGCTGGACTCCCGTATAGTTGACTGTGGTTCGAATACTGGATCTAGTGGCTTAAACTCACGCCAGGCGCATGTGCATATGTGCCCAAGATCCCAAGAGAATGGAGGAGAAGGGATTGTGGTGTGTCCATCCTCCCTGGGGGTGATTTCTTACTTTCTGTCTCTCTCTGTCTTTCTGGTGAGTGCATGTGCCCTATAGCAAAAACCAAAACAAAACAACAAAACAAAACAATCAAAAACCTCCCCCCCCCAAAATATTTGCTAGAGAGTGTGTGCAGGGGCAGGAGAGAAAGAGTTTGAGCGAGAGAGTGATAAAGCATTACCCGTGAGGCATGGCCATCTGCAGTCCTTTCTCCTCTCGGGATCTTGGGCATGCATGTACACGCGCCTGACATGTTTCTCAAAATGCTGGGTCTGTGACTCATGCTCCTCTCATATGGACTGGCCACTTTAACCACCATGGCACTGGCTGGCCCTTCTCTGCTTTATACAATGGAGTTCCTTTAGGATTTTATTTCAGGGAAGGGCACTGTGTCCGGAAAAAGTACATAAGAACCATAGCGAGAGGGTCACTGGGGGCCGGCAGCATCCCCGGGAATCAGGAGAGCGGCCTGTGACCAGGATTCTCCACCACGTACCATCGCTCGCGCTGAGCCAGTTCCCAGAGGGACAAGTGCCCGTGCTTCCCACCTGCACCTTCATCTCCTCCCATGGGCCCTGAGGGCTCAGCCAGGCAAGGGGTGTGTCATCAAGCCGCAGTGGAGGTTGAGGCTCGAAGGGAGGAAGCCACTTGCTCAGGTCACACCCCAGTAGTGGGTCACTCGGCTCCTGCCCTCAGGCTGCTTCCCTAGCTGTCGGCTCTTCCTAGACTGGGGAGGACACTGGCCCAGGAGGGGCGTCTTCCCCCAGGCTCAGCAGAGTGGGCAGATCTGACTCGCAGAAATGTGCCCTGGCTGGCCTTGGGGCAAGGCTGCTCGGGCCTGCCGCTTCCTCCGCACACGCACACGAGGCAGAGCCACTCTCCACAGAGCCACTGAGCCCAGTTCTGAATCAAACCCCACCTCGTCACTCTCCTGCTTACAACCTAAGTCTGCCACCTCTGGTTGGGTGACAAGTGGACCCAGGGAGTGAAGTGGCTTAGGAGCTAATCAGGCACAGACATTCACAGTGGAAACTGTCTAAACATGAGGGGACCCACTCTCACTAGCCCCTGAGCTGGTGCTCTGGACTTGTGTTCCACTCTGGGAAGCTTGGGGAATTTGCTGGGTTGAGGAATGGTGTGTGTGTGTGTGTGTGCGTGCGCACACATGTGCAAGTGTGAGCTCCAAGCAGGGCAGACTGTGCTGCAGGTTCCTCCACCCACTTCTGGGCCTCCTCCCTCCCTGCTCTGCACCTAAGCTAAGCCACGGCTACTATATCTGAGCAGCAGCCTGCATGCAGGGGAGACCCTGTGACACCCACGCTCCTGGGGACCTGCCACATCGCACAGCTCTGTCATCAGGTTGTGGCTGTGGTAGAGTGTCCCTTCTCAGGATACCCCATCTAGCCCCCCGAGATGCTAAGATAAGAAGAATGGGAACAGTTTGGTGGTGTCAGGTACAAGGTGCAGGCAGTACACCCTCGGGGAAGTGTGTAAGATGACACCCACGAGCAGGCACCATGCAGGAGCTGTAAATATGTCACTTCTACCCTCCTGACAGCCTAGCAGGAAGACCCTGTGCTCGTGTTTCAGAGGACGAGACCGAGCCCGTCCATCCACCTGTGCTTCTCTGCACCCAGCCAAGAGCCATTTCCCCGTCTGCACACCTGGCGGTGTAGCCGAGTCCGAGGGAATCACCGGTGAGGCAGAGAGGAGACCAGGCGACCTGGCCAGGGAGTGCCGAGGAGGGATGCCAGCCCAGCTGTCCCCAGGACCCTCGCTTTCCCATCAGCTGGGCTGGGGGTGGATGTGTAAGTGGGGTGGGGAGATGCTAGTCCCTGCTTGGGGCAAAGGGGATGAGGCCCTCATGGCCCTCAACTCCATGGGGAATGCTTTTCTGACACCCGTCCAAGTACAGCCCCTCCTGTGGCTTCGACAAGAAAGCGCGGATCACAGCTTGGCATGTGAGCTGAACGCCACTAAACCTGCCAGGAATTTCTGCATCACAGGAAAGCAAAGAGCCTTTGTGCTGGTCTGGACCTTGGCTTCATTAAATAGGCTACTGCAGTTCAGGTCACTGTCAAGATCCAGTGCCTCCCACACTGGTGTGGCCCTGCGGGGGTCTTGGGATGGATGGGGACGAGAGGACACCCACTCCAGCTCACAAACCACTTTCCTTTTCCGGCCGGCTGGGCAGTGGTGTCCCTGGGCCACACCACCCATCTCTTGAGAGGGCCAGGGCATCCGGGTGAGAGGTGGGCCGCGATCTGGTCAGATCAGGGCTTTCGTCAGGCTGAGGCCACGTGGACAGCATCGGCAGTCCTTACAAGCCTTGCATGAGATGCTGTCAGAACAAGTTCTCATCACGTCCCCACTTCAGACGGGGAAGCCGAGGCTCAGAGAGGGGAGTCGTTTGCCCACGGTCACACCGTCACTAAACATAGAGCTGGAGATTGAATGTGGGTTTGCCTGACCCTAAACCACTACCGGACCTGTCTCCTTAGCGTTCTGGACCTGAAACCACGAAGTAAGAGGTAGGATGTTTCCCTCATACTTCTAGTGAAAGGTGAGATTTCAAAATAAACTTATTTAAATTCAGCTGCTCATGTTCTCCCAGGAAACATACAGTCAGATATTTGTCAGTGATAAAGGATGAACCATCGAAAATGTCCAGGCTTAAATTTTTTATCAGCTTAAGGCAGAATATGAAAACCAGCAATGCACCTCTTCCCTCATTAACCCAATTCAGCGACTACCCTGCAGTCCGCCACCCACCACTCGCCTGGGTTTTCCTACACACAAAGAGCTGTCTGTGAAAAGGAAGGCCTTGGCGAGGGTGGATCGATACAGGG